GTGTGGCCGGGCGCTATCATGAGCTAGCTATCCAATAGGAAGAAACGCTGTTTACATGTAGCCGGTTCGGTCGCGCACTACCTTGACGCTTGTGCGTACGAACGGTCAGGCTAGGATGTCTCGCCTAACTCGATCATCACAGTGGGCATGCCTCATGTTTGAAAGTTATGGCTGAAGCTTCCGGTCAGCACTGGATACGCTGGCAGGCGTACAACAAGTTATGCCGGCTATATGCGATTAGTAACATAGCTCGGGTACGGTTACCTTACATTCGCAGCTAGCGGGCATATGGCAGTTTTGCCATAACCCTCGGGTTATATATTGCAGTCAGCTGATATCCGGCCCTATATATGAACTTCAAGTCTGCCCGGTCCGACTAATGATGCATGAATTGTTTGCCGTCGCAGGCTACTTGCACTACAACATCGTATTATAGACTATATATTGATGTTCATGGTCTAGTGAACTATGCCATTGGCTATGCTACCGTATACTGTAATAAGGGGCCGTGCACTACGTTACCGTCGGTACGTGCACTAATGCACTATAAAACTAGTGTCGGACGGTCATGTAGATTTTCTACGACGGTAGCCGCGCAGCGTGGCCGGTAGTTAGCTCTCAAATCAAAGCCATTTTTATACCAATGGGCTCAAAAAGAGGGAATACACTGCGCCAACCGTGCGGCATGCCAGGTGATGCATGCTAGGCCTTCAGAGCGGGCCATGTAAAATTCCTAGTTAATTGTGAGTTGACACGGAATGTAGAGGCCAAGCCTTGAATTTAAGAAGTCAATTGTGTGGTCGCGCATCGTGCATTCAAAGTACATGTACGTGTGCCCCAACGATGCACACACTAGGGGCCGGTCGGCCGCAACTATGTGAGCTTTGAAGCATGGCCTCGGACCGTTCAAGTGACCAGCTTTCATTGGAATTACTGACATACGTCCCTACTCCTTGAAGCATATTGAAGCTTGAAGCATTGGGCTCCGGGGAGCACGAAACAAACACCATCAAACGTAATTGCTTACAGCCGTTGAATGTGATGATGTTAAACTCCAATGGTTTCAACTTCTTTCAAGCTTCAGTTTCAAATTATTGGTCAGAAGTTAGATTTATGTGCGATTTACGGACTGGTTATTACTTTCAGACCCCTCGATGCTTCCAAGTGGCGACGTTTGCAGGACGCCGATATGGAAGGAAAGTTAACCTTATAATTGATACTAGGCGCGGCTAACTGGGAAAATCAGCTTGGACCCTAGTTGACTACCTAGCAAGTTGAGCCGTGGCCGGGAGGGGACACCGACTCCCGATGCCTTGACACAACAATGGATCTGGATAGCAATATTTGCAAACACAGCAAGCGGCGGGATCAATACGACCCATCCGGGGGATCCTTCCGACCCCTTGTCAGCGGCTAGATTCGCAAGCGGGCCTGGCGACCATCACGTGTGTCCTCAGCTTGGGCTCGGAGGTTTGGCGCGATCTTTTTCATCCACTGATTGGACTGGAGTCTGGTACACCGCACGGTAGAGCACAGAGCCCCGGTGGACGCCCGGTCGAGCTGCAGTTTGCGGTGCGAACTTCGGTCCCCGTGACTTCGATCCACTTCGATCACCAAAATTTGGAAGGAGCCGGTCGCTTATAGACTGTATAGTGGCCGGTTTGTGTCACACCAAGATTGTCCAGGTGGCAGGGAGACTTGGCCGAAACGTACGTAGGAAGTTGCAACTGCCAGTCACGCAGTCTGCCGCCATATCTCGCGAAGGTCGCTATAGAAAGTTGATGGACCGATGGTTGTTTCACCTGGCGGCAGGGCAGGTAGGTAGTTGGACACCTGCTGTGGCGGTTTGGTTCCCGGGTGTGTCTGAACGTGTCAGTGTTGCGCTATTGCGCCCTGCAGGATTCGATGCAAGCCCCCACATAGGTTGTGTGTGAAGGAAGGACAATAGGCAGGGCTGGCACGCCGGCGATTGATCGGCAAGACTATCTGTAATGCTGTTTGCAATCTGTAGGGCTTTGCCCCTTTTATCCTGCAAGAAGGCGGTCCCAGGGTACACTCAATCCTTTTTGTCTCTGTGGATGCCAAGCAGCAAGTTGCATATCTTTATGAGCGATACATCTGTATGGCAGTCTGCGTTTCTCAAATAGAGGGTTGGCGAGAACATTGTAACGGGGAAAGCTGTACTGGCCAGAGGCTCCGATTGGCATAGGCTGTCTTTGAAATCCTCAAACCTGGGATGATGAAATCTGATAAGTACATGTAATCAAGGGCCTCTCTGGCAGTGCTTTCAACAGTCGAGAAGGGACAATGGAGGGGCCGATGGATGGAGATAGCATGCAGTGTGGGACTGGTGTCAGTGCTTTTAGAGACTGGAAGAGGAGCTCCAAGACCCAGGCCAGGTATGTCGCATATTGCTCTTTGGTTGCACCTTACGCTGCGGATTCTGAAGCAAACCCTAGGCTGCACGCCCTGTGGTCAGATTGGAACGAATAAACTTCATCACTGTTTCTGTGCTGAAGTCACAACTACCTTGTCATCTGGAGAAAGCGACGTAGGATTGGAGGAATTGATGGCGTTGGGACTTTCAGTGTATGCAACTTGCCACATTACAGTGACTTCATCCAATTGGTTGCATCTGCCCTATTAGGTGTTGCCAAACTAGCTGTGCGTCATACTGGCGTCCCATACATCAAAGGTATCAATGTCTTTTCATGGATGCGGTATTTATATCGTCTTGAAAAAGTACCAGAGGATTTAATGGAGAAGGACTTGGTCAGATGAAGTCTTTGAGGGATGGCAACACCGTCAGATGCCTTAACCCTTTTTTGTGAAGGGTTGCACATGGGGTGCTGGTTCCTCGGATGGTCTGAACTTCATTGTTTTTCGGTTGAAATCATGGTTGGAAAGAGACTCTGCGGTTGTGTCTTCTGGAGCTTTCAGCATTTCAACAACCTAACAGCTGGGAGAGGATGGAAATTTTGCAACTCTCCCCTTTGATATTATCCGTGTGATGCAAAAACAGATAAGTACAATTGAGACTTTGCCGATCTGCAAGTGCTTATTTCCAAGTCACTCTGGCTTGTCTGTGCTTTGCAGGGCCGATACTAGCAATATCACCCGGCTCCTAGCTTTTCGTGAAGTCAGTCCTTCATTGCGGCGGCCCAAGAAGCGTCTTTGGGGTGCTGACACGGCGGGCGTCGAAGGAGCCGCTGGAGATGCCCGTCCCGCAAATGTGAAGCAGGCACTGGGCGAATGGTGAGGAATCAACACTCGTGTGTACCTGTCTGAGCCAATGATGCTGGTCGCATGTCCAATTGTGTTGATGCATATTTTCTTGTCCAGCATAGACATCAGTCATGAATGGAGGATTGGGACACCCGGTGAAACTTGATTGCTGTGATTGCTCGCTGATTGCTGTGATTGCTCGCGGATCATTGTTTGAGGCACTAGCTTGCTATACTTGAAAACATCTTGACATGTTTCCTCCTCCTGAAGGGTGGAGGCCGACTCTTTGAGGCATTGCAGCGCCAAGTACACAAGTCTGCATCCAGCCCCTCGCTCCACTATAGCGGCAGCTTTCAGCTTGGATGGAGAGACCCTGGCATCAACACAGTGAGTGTTGCCTGCTCGTGCATGCGCAGATCACCAATTTGCAGGTTGTTATGTAAGACCCTATGTTTCTGGTTATGTACCAGAGCTGCGCTCCGACCTGTTTGCCCGCAGCTGGCAACATTGACAAGCCAGCATTTCGCCTTTTCCTGGAGGCTCATGCTCTGCCCTGCTGTTTGCAGTGGGGACCACACAGTGAAAATCATCAATTGTCAAACTGGCAAGTGCGTCAAAGTGTTCAGCGGACACAGACGCACGCCTTGGGTGGTGAGTACAGCATCCTGGGGCACAGTTAAATCACGGCTGTCACAGCCCTCTATCCAAACACTTCAACACACATCACACGTGTCACATCCTTGGGTTTGCTGTCTACATGGTAGTACAGATTATCATATACACCCTGTCGACAAGCGAAAACGGTCATGTCCATGCGAGGGCTGCGTTGTTCTTCAACCAGATCTTGCTCACCTTTTCTTGTCTCAGCACCATTACGGGCCCTCCACCAGTGTGGAGCACTGGTTTTGAGTGTCATGTTGCTTCCCTGATCTCACGTTGTGCTCCCACTCCGCCGTTTGTCTGAAAGACACAGTCCTCACCCACCCCCTCACGCGTCCCATTTCCAGGTCCGCTTTCACTCCCGCGTCCGCCACGTGATTGCCAGTGGTAGTCTGGATCACGAAGTCCGCCTCTGGAATGCCACGACCTCAGAATGCATCCAGAAGTTCGACTTCTGTAAGTACGCTTTCCCCGCCCTCTCCCTGCCCGTTGCTGCTCACTGACCCCGCCTGCTTGCAGGTGCGCTTTCACCCCTTCCAGCCAGAAATGCTGGTCAGCGGCAGCCTGGACCATCTGGTCAGGCTTTGGAATACACGAACTGGTGTCTGTCATATCTCTCATGACTTCTGTGAGTATATCCCTGCTGCTCCCTGTGGTGAAGTCATTTTTGAGCAAGCGGAAAGACTTTTGAGCAAGCACCTGTGCACATGGTGTAGGCCGACAGGATGTTTCTGAAGCTTTTACAAGTCTTCATGGCTTGAACAGACTCCTAACGTTCCTAAGACGAGATCTGCTTCGGGCTCTGCGATTTTCCTTAAATTATTCAGTTGCGGTATTTGGAGGATGCTGCGATTTGCTTTTTCTGCTATGCTGTTTCTTTCTATCCAAGGTTGCAGTGTTTTGTTGTGACCTTCCGTTCTTGGTTGGCCAGCTGGTTGGTGTAACCAGTATTCATAGGTTGCCAGCCAGGGTTTCAGGTCTCATTCAGTCTGTTTTGACCATTTTTCCCCTGCATGTTCTTCCATTAGATTACAAACTTGCAAGGTTTGCCCTTGTGTATGGAACTTGCAAGGATTGGTCAACCCAGGCAGCTGTGTTGGTCAAACCACTGAGCCTTCTGCCTTCCCTTCAGAACTTTTGTGACGTGCTGGCGTGTTCGTGTGCAGTGCGGCCCATTGCCTCCCTTGCTTTCCATGCCTCGGGCGACCTTCTGGCCGTAGCTTCGGGCCACAAGCTGTACATGTGGCAGTACAACACGGAGGGCGAGGCTGCCTCCCCCGCCATCGTCTTGCGTACCCGGCGCTCCCTGCGGGCCGTCCACTTCCACCCCCATGGGGCACCCTTGCTCCTCACTGCTGAAGTCAATGATCTTGACTCTAACGACTGCCCCCCCGCCACTGCCACTGCCCGCAGCTACAACAACCCCCCCCCTACCACCATGGCATACACGCCCGCCACTCTGTCTGCAATGGCAGCTGGCGCCCCTTCCCGCCCCCCTGTTTTCACCCCTCATGCTGGACCCAATGTCTTCTCAAACCCCGCTGCGAACCCTGGCCAAATAGGGCAGAACCCTGCGTGGCCCCCGACTGGCAGTAACGTGCCGCTCCCAGCACCTGCTGGTCCGGTACCTGGCATGCCTTGGAACGATTTTTGGAGCTTTGAGAGTCAACAGCAAAATCGGCAGGGGCAACAGCAAGGAGTTGGCGCAGGTTTCGGTTTCGGCAACCCGGCAAATCCCCTCCCCTTTGGCTTCAGAAGCCCTTCCCCCGGCCTGTTTGGTAACCTGCATTCCCACCATCCAGCCCAGTCCCATGAGCAGCCGCAAAGAGGGGGGCCGGCGGGACCGTCGGGCGCAGCTGGCTTCCTGCCAAGGCCCTGGGCAGCCACGAGTGGGCAGAGGGCTGTGAATAGCCCGCCCCTGGAGCGGAGTGGGGAGAGACCGTCAAGCCGGATGAGCGAAGCAGAAGGGCCCGCGCAGATGGACGTGTCTCCCCGACCAGCAGAGGGTGACCGGTGGTTGCAGGTATGGCGGGGCTGCTCTTGGTGCTGGGGGCACTGCCCATTCAGCAGCTGAGAGATGCTAATGACACTGCTCTATGAGTAGGAGAATTGGGTACGTTCCTAAATGACTTTCTGACCTTGAGCTGTGCATCGTGCTGCAACCTTCTGATTATAAGTCACTGTGAAAGAATGCTTGTGCAATCTGTTGCTAAGTCTGTCTTCGGTGCTGTCTCATTCTGCAGCGACCGGAGGCTGCGGTGGCGCCCCTCAGCACGGGCGGCGTTGCGCGTGCGCTGTCCTTCTCAGGGGCTGCCTCTGCTTCGCAAAGCACCGTACTCGCGCGGACTGACAGTGGGGGCCTGGAGCGCAACCCTTCTGACACCACCGAGAGCATGGCCATCGATCTGGCCAGTGTTGTGTCCCCACCTCCCCCGCTGAGCTATCTCAATGTTGCCCCGAGTTCTACCACCCGTGTTGGCCCTGCGCAGACCCACCCGGCCGGCTCGCATCCCGAGGCCAACGTGGCCCTGGGATACCCCTTCACGCAGCAGCTGCCCGCACTGGGCATCCCCCCCCTGCAGCAGATGGACCTCCCGTTCTGGGGCGGCTGGGCGCGCCTGGGCCAGGAGCCAGCAGCCGGCCTGCGGGGCCAGGCGCCGGCGCTGCCCGCAGCAGGGCCCAACCACATACAGCACGTGGCGCAGGGCGGGCAGCAGGCCCTGTCCGTGGCGTCAGTCGCCATGGCAGCGGCAATGGCGGCTGCACGGGCTGCGGCACAGGCAGGGGCCGGCATGATGGGGGCCGCAGCAGCCGGGATGGGCCATGCAAGCGGGATGGCGGGGGGGCACCTGAACCAGCTGCCAAGACCATTCCAGGTACAGGCGCAGAGCCGCTGACGTGCACTGTTTGAAGTTGGCTTGTTAGGTTTGACGACCATCGGTCACCCACATGTATCTTTGCATATTACACTGGAGTAGTATGCTTGTGAATCTGCTGCTGCATCCCTTCGCCATTCCTCAAGCTGCAGCTTCAGGTCAATTGCTGTCCGCGTGCCAGCCCACACCGGTGCTTAGCCATTCCTGTTCTCCGCACAGGACATGGGCCCTGCCGCCGAAGCCGCTGCGAGCGCCGCGCTGGCTGCTGCGGCCGCTGCGGAGCTGCCGTGTACAGTGAAGCTGCGGGTGTGGCCCCACGACATCAACAGGCCGACAGCGCTGCTCGACCCGGAAAAGTGCCGCTTGACCATTCCACACGCAGTGTTATGCAGGTAAGCTTCCTTCACAAGCTACCCCCCCTTTGGAAGGCACTTTGTATTGAGTCGGTTTGAGAGAAAAGCGCAACTGTCATGAAGAATTCACTTACACATACTTTTCATAAGTACTTGCATAAGATTCTCGTTTGCAATTCATATAAAGAAAGTTTGCTCCGCTTTCTTACCTCCTCATTCCCACGTCATGGTTGGAGGCAAGGTGGGGCACCATTGGGCTTCCTTCCCTCCTTCGCCCGGCATCTCGGTCACCCCGCGGGTCGCCCCTGTGCAGTGAGATGGGCGCCCACTTCTCTCCTTGCGGCCGCTTCCTGGCTGCGTGCGTGGCCTGCCGCTCGCCCCCCGACCAGGAGGACGCCTTCACGCAGACCCTGCGCGCGCTCAATGGGGGCGCTCTGCACTCGTTTGGCGGCCATCCGGCGCAGTTCCCCAGCCCGCCCCCCCTGCAGCCGGACTCCCCGCCGCAGCCGCTGCAGGCCAACTCGGTGGTGTACGAGCTGCGGCTCTACAGCCTGGAGGAGGGCACCTTCGGGGAGGTGCTCGCGTCCAGGACCGTCCGCGCAGCGCACTGCCTCACCTCCATACAGGTGAGACAGCCGCTGGCAACGAGCAGTTCTGGGCTCCAATCGTGTGCACTGACCTATCAAACAACGGAAGTCTGAAGTCAGCCCTGCAAGTATGCTTTTGCCAGCAGCCGGCGCACAACTTCGTTTGACACCGCTGTGCTTCTTCTCAGGAACAAATCAGGTAAGAAGCATGTGTTAATCGTGGTGTTTGTCAGCCGGCCTCTCTCGATCAGCATTCCGGCAGCCTGCTTGAACATTCCTGACATGTGGCATCTTGCGTGGTGGCCTACAGTTCTCGCCGACGTCGCAGCACATTTTGCTGGCGTACGGGCGGCGGCACAACACGCTGCTGCGCAGCCTGGTGACGGACGGCGCGGGCATCATCCCGGTGTACACCATCCTAGAGGTGTACCGCGTCGCGGACATGGGCCTCGTGCGCGTGCTGCCCAGCGCCGAGGACGAGATCAACGTCGCAGCATTCCACCCGCAAGTGGGGGGGGGGCTCGTCTACGGGACCAAGGTGCGCCAAGTGCAGCAGACATTGGGGGCCGCTGGCAGTTGGCATACACTGAAATTTGAAGGGTTCTCGAAGAGAGCAGACCTGGAGGCATCTCAAGAAACGCGGTGTTCAGCACGCCCTACGAAGCGCTTGCAGATTCGAGAGCACAACTGCCCTCAACCATGAGTTCTAGCATCCAGGGGTCTCCTTCCCTCGTTATTTTGAGGAGGCTCTGTTGCCAAGATTAGTAGTTTCTTTCTTTGTAAGCGGCCTCCTCTGTTGCCAAGACTAGTAGTTCCTCTCTTTGTAAGCGGCACAGTGTCTCACATGGCCTCACGTTCGTGTGCAGGAGGGGAAGTTACGGACAGTCACGCATGATCGGCGACCAAGACAAAGCAGTGCAAGGCGACAGCTAGAAGACGAGCTTCTCGAGGTATGTTCTTTTAAAAACCAATGGGCCACTTCTTCTACCGGTGTAAACTTCTCGCTTTTTGGAAGTTTCTTCTAAGTTTAGAGTGAAAGCCGACAGCAAAACTATCTAGTGCACTTGTGGCTGATTGGATAGCTCTTGGACGCGCAGGCCGAATCCAACGATGGCCCCTACAACCTAAGGAATTTCCACAACACTGAGGCAGGTCACATTCGACAGATGGAGGCGCGGTGACATGGCTCACTCATCGAAGCTAGGGTGGTACAAGCGGCTGGCTCGCATGGGGCGCCAGGTAGTGTTGGTGGGTGTAGGCTCGTTCAGGTTGCAGGCACCAGGTAGGATTCGGACGGGTTAGAAGAACAGGTCCAATTGATAGGTTAGCACATAGGACACAAACGGCGGCTAAGCATACTGCTACACATGATTGAGACTCGTTTAATCGATCATTGAAGATCATTTCAAAGGATCGAGTCACTGTCTATCTCGCATCCCTTTTCAGTGTAAACGTACGGTTTTGGTTAATCGCATCAGCTAAGGACATCTACCGATCAATTGGAACGTCAATGCAGAAATCCGAGAGTACTCTTGATGTGCATGAAGCCGCCGGCTCCTGGTATAGAAGATGCAATATTTGAAGTAACGCCTCAACGGATAGAGACCTTTGGCTGTTTTGGCGGTCCGTTCGACCGGCTCCTCCATATGTGCGCCCAGCGCGCAGCAGCTCTGAGAGTTGCTGATGAGAGTCAGGTTGGAGACGAGGCTTCTCGTCTGCTGCGCTATTACCGTCAGCGCATCTCAGTGAGTCTACAGCGCAGCCAGGCCAGAGCCGTTCATCGAACCGATCGGCTCGTGCGGTTCAGAGCACGCTAGGTGCGAGGCCTCTGGCGTTGTCTGGTTTCGTTAGTCGCGTTGATTTGTTCACGATTGCTGGAGCGAGGCATAGCAGTGAGGAGTGACATTTGAGGTGCTGTGGCACTCACATGCGACTTTGAGTTGGTTTAGCCAACAACCACTGTGCATATTGATATTGTTATTGCAATTGTTATTGTTATTGTTATAACGGATTGCCATTCATCAATCATTGTTGCATGATCAAATAGGATCGAGCGCGGGTCGCTTAAGCCTCGCGAGTTACCGTCGCTCTTTGTCCGGCCGCATGACGGCCGTTCAGTGCACATATGATCGACTGCATGTGACTAAGTCCGACATTGAGTTTATAGTAATTCTAATGATTATACGAACGGTAATTAATTGAAGCTAGCTGGCATATGTGCACATGCTGCATCAGTGCATGTGCACCTTTCATGAATCATGACAGCTATGTACTCGAATTAATTGGCGCATTTGCAGGGCCGCGGTTGCACCTGGTGCATGCAGCCGCGCCTCAGTGCCGCGCTGCATGCATGCGCTATAAATTATTCACAAATGCAGAACGTCCAAGTGCATGACAACGCCCGGCGACTGAGTGCCGCTAGCTAGTATATATGATTATGCGTTGCCAACATGCATTGTCGGACCGACTATGCACGCAGCTGCAACCGTATCCGCGGGCCGCCACCGCCGCGCAACAATAACACATGACCACCGCGAGGGCCGGTGCGCTTACTAAACGATCGACCGTTTGGATATTTTATATGCATGTGACTGAAGTAACGTATATGCACCATGTGGTGCCGGAAGCGTCATTGCAAACTTGCCGCGCAGGCCGCCGTGTCTCACCGGGCAGCTATTTACAACCAGCTGCATCTACGTAGCCGGTCCTTGCTGCAATCTTCAAGGACATCAACAAGCTCCATGGAAGTCCACAATGCTGCTGACGCACCTTTCCTTAGCATGTGCCTCTCTTGTACGACCGCTGCCGATGCCTTCGGATCAAGGTGACCATCGCATATCCACTCTCACATGCATGGCGGCTTGAATGAACGTCTGTCTGTGGTGCCAGCTCCACTGCTCCCCCGTCCACAACAAAAGGGCTTCGCTGGCATCCACGCTTTTTCGTTATCCGCTTGGCGCGGCTGTCATGAACACTCTTCCGCTCCTTCTTTTTGTCCTTCCTCGCGGTCTTCTCTCGACGTCCTTCAGCCGTTTGATCCCAGCCCGTCTGGCAAGCCCCCGCTCCATCCCCTCCACCACTTCCGTCACCGTCACACCCGGCCCCGAAGTGCTGTCGGCAAGCGTGGTAGGGCCGCTCTGTTGCCCCTCCGAATTTTTGTTGCTCCTTCCCAGCCTCTCCGAGCGCTTGTCCGTCTCGCTCGCTCGCCCCTGCCCTCCTCGGCGGGATCCCTCTGCCAGCGTGTCGTCCAGCCGATCCCGCTCCACGTCCCGCCACGGCCCCGGCACTTTGCGCCGCTCCACGCGCTCCCCCGTCAGCGCCTCCACGGCCGCCAGGAACTGCTCCTCGCGCAGCACGGCCCGCTGGTGAGGGCCCCCGATAAGCACCTCCTGCGCGTCCGCGCTCACCAGCGACACCGCCAGCCCGGCCTGGCCCGCCCGCCCGGTGCGACCCACGTGGTGCACGTAGTCCTCGGGGGTCAGCGGCAGGTCGAAGTTTATCTACGAGGGAAGGGGGGAATACTTCAACCTTTCAACTCAACGACGACGAGCACTGTGGCACCGTGTGAAGTGCTTCTCTCTGCGATGCCGGAAAGGTGGCGTACAAAATGGTCAAGCACGTAGTTTGTGGCATTCGGTCAAATCTGGTAGAACGTCGATTGCTGGCAGAATAAACGTCCGATAGGTGGGCTTGATCAGAACACTACAGAAGGTCAAGTCCAGATGCCGACTAACACATCGACAACCTCGCAGATAAATGGCAGAGGAAAGTGGATAGATGCAAGGCGGATGCTGTGCGTCGAGGCCCCAACAAGGCGGATGCTACTACGGAAGACGCCCGCTTGCAACGACCTGCCATGTATGCATGCCGGCTCGAGGTCATCCCCCCTCCCACGGCTCCTTGACAGCGTCCCGAGAAGCGGGTTTGCCCCTCAGGACGACAGGCCCCCCTTATTTTCGGGGCTGCTTGCTCGTCCGCGGTGCTTGCGCCTCACCACGGTGGGCAGGTCCGGGATGTCGATGCCGCGCCCCAGCACGGCCGTGGCCACCACGCACCGCACCGCGCGCGCCTTGAACGCCTCCACCACGCGCCACCGCTGCGTCCCGGTCAGGCCCGAGTGGACCGCCTCAGCGGGGACGCCCCGCTCGGCCAGCACAGCGGCCAGCCGCGCTGCGCGCTGCCGCGTGCGTGTGAACACCAGCACCTGACTGTCCTGCACCACCGAAGCAGGGGACAATAAACAAAACGGATTGAGACGGATTGCTTTGACACCCCCTCCTGCTGCCTGGGCCAGGTTGAGTGGAAGCACGCGACCAGTGGCTCATTCCGGCCACAGGCGATGAGGCAAGCAAATGCAAGGTCAGGTGGGCTTCATGTCGTTCAGTGAGAAATTTACGAAGGCGGGTGTACCCAGGTTCGCACGAAGTCATGGTTTGTCAAGAAACATGCCGGGCTGCACGCAACTGATGCTGAGGAGATGCAGTGAGGGGCACCACCAATCGGCGCCGCCCCTCTCCAGCCTGCCAGAGTACGCTGTGGGGCTCACTCTGAAGGAGCCCTTGCGCTTGAGGAGGTACTCGAGCAGCGCCACCTTCCTGCGGCTGTGCACCGTGTAGGCCACGTGCTTGACGGCGGCCGCCACGCGCAGGTCGGGGTTCAGGGCCACGCTGGCAGCGCGGGGAGCAAAGCGGCGCAGCAAAAAGGCCGCCTCGGGGGTCACGGTGGCGGACACTAGGAGGACCTGCGGGGGGGAGCAAGAAGAGGGGCCGCTGTCAAGGCCTGTAATGGCCGCGAGGCTCGAGGCCGCGCTTCCACACAGATCCATCCCCCATGTGGTGCCTTTCTTGTCAGAGCGGGGTCAAGGAGCATTAGTGATTGTGGGACCGAGGCCCGGGACGTTGTTGGAAGCGATGACGTGGCAACGTTTAGTTGCGAAACCCTGGTCTGTGGCATCATTCGACCAATCAATCGATCGCTAAGGGCGGGCTAAAGCCCACATCTCGCCACTTAAGCACCTTCCAACATGGTATTCGGCCTCAGTCCCCAGTACGACAACTCTACTTGACCCGCTTTGTCAGAAAAGGGTACACAAATTCCAGCAGCAACAGCTGAAGCCTCGTCGTCCGCTATGCCTAGATGCATGTCTAGTGATCATGTAAGGGGTACAGAAGGGCAGGGTCCGCTGGCTGACCTGCATGGGCGGCTGCTGCGCGTCCTTGGGCGGGCGCGGCAGAAAGGGGAAGAGTTGCTGCACGTCGCGCAGCAGGCCCATGCGCGCCACGCGGTCGCACTCGTCCACCACCCAGTGGCGCACGCCCGCCAAAGACAGCGCGCCCGCCGCGGAGGCAGGGCCTGCGGATGCCTGCGCAAAATATACGGACGAGTATGACTCGAGCTCCCGAGCAGAAGCATGACGTGCGTGGCCACAGCAAGGGGATCCTCCGTGGTCAATGTATGCGGCGATTGATCAGTAAAGTCAGAAGCACCGTAAGCCTTCCTCTTCCGGTGGAGGCTAGCCTTCTCCGGTTGGAAGTACTTTCGTATCCTATTTGTCAGGCCAAGCGACAGATGGATTTCATTTTTGTATCGAAGGCTGGAAAAGGTAGCTCAATTCATCCGTCAGCTCACGGCTTCCACAGGAGGCAGGCACCCTCGTATTTGTGACACAAACGGCTCTACTCATGTGATTTGAAACCTTGCCGGGACCCCTGCCGTAACCCAAGCGACTTCCACGCCCGTCCCAAAGACGGCCTACACATCCGACTGCCACCCAGTGTCCCACAAGCCAACCCACGTCCAGAGGCCAGGCCGAGGCCCCCTTTTTGCGCACCTGTTGGAGCAGGCGCAGCAGGCGCCCTGGCGTGGCCACCAGCACCTCCGCCTGCCGCTGCAGCAGCAGCTGCGCCTGGCGGGCGGGGGGCGTGGCGGAGGCCGCCGTCAGCAGGTCCACGCGCACGTGCGGCAGGCCGCGCGCGAGGGCCACAAAGTGGGCGTGCACCTGCACTGTACACAGCCACGCCTCAGCGCAAACCAACAAAACAATGGCAGCGAGCAGGGGGAACGGAAGGAGGGGCCGGGGGAGGGCACCTGGCAAGCATGACCAGGGGGGGCTGCAGCAAGACATGCTCAGGGTGACAAAGAGGCGATGCACGGTTGACAATAATCGTCCGCCCTTTGCTTGACTTATCAGGACTGAAGGAAAGGACCACTGACGTGACGATGGCAGACTCTCTGTCCCACCTTCAGACCCAGTAAGCCCTAGTGTGTCGTGGCTCCGCCGCAACTTGCGGCCCGCTGCCACTGCGTGTCCTCACCTGTGACGCCAGGTCGGCTGTAGGAGTGAGCACCAGACACAGCGGCCGCTGTAACCCCTCTGGCAGGGGGGAATGCTCATTCAGATCGCCGTCCTGGTTGCCCCCTCTTTCGCGCTCCAGTTGCTGGCGAAGGAGCTCCAGCAGGGGGAGGGCGTACGCCGCCGTTTTGCCGGTGCCAGTCTCTGCCGAGAGGAAGGCCTGCGAGGAACCGTGTTTTCAGCTGCGACTGGTCCGCTGTGTCAACCTGGCGAGCCCACTATCAGCAGATTTGTAGACAGCCCCCAGCAGGCAGCGCGGCACGAGGGGGCGGCATGAAGGAGCCCTTGCGACAAGTGAGGGGTGGCGTTACTGAGGCGGTGGCATGCATGCGAGCGACACGTGCGCCAGGCGGCCCGAAGTAGAAGCCTGCGTGCTCTGTGGGAGGGGGACTTTGTTCGCAAAGACGCAGCTGGCGGCAACACAGATCAGCATAGGACAGTCATGTCAGGGGCGGCCAGGGCCGGGAGGGGCTCACGCTCTGCCCTGTCAGCACCAGCGGTATGCCGCGCCGCTGCACCTCGGTGGGCTCCAGCAGGCCCACGCCCTCCGCGCCACGCACCACTGCCTCGCTCAAAGCAAACTGGCGGAAGCCTGGCTGCGGCAGTGCCCCCGGCTGAAATGCTCCAAGAGGAGCAGCCGCCGCAGCGGCAGGCGCTGGCACCCGCAGCGGGGTGGGAGGGGAAGCCAGCGCAGCAGCAGCCCCGAACGCACGGCTATCATGTATGCCACACAGCGGGGCCTCGACATGACGGCCAGTCCCTTCCTGGATTGATAAAAGGGTGCTCTGCAGACTGCCTGACATGCGGGCGAAGACATCCCGACGAGGGCCATTGAGCCAGAACTTGCGGAGACCCCCGTACATTGTGAAGTCTCATGTTCTGCATTAAACTTTGTCGTTGACGGCACCACTGCTTGCCACTACGCGGATATAGTGCAGATATCAACCCACAAGAAAGAGCGACCACCAATGATGACAAACAAGCCCTGCAAACTGCGAGTTGCAGTGCAACGCCGTCCTCCTGAAAATGAACACATTCAATGCCAATGCCAATGCCAACAGCCAATGCCAATGGTGGCAGGTGCCCCACCCTGCCACACCTGGCCAACCACCCTGGAACTCTGCTGTGATGGCAATGACAATGACAGTGACAATGATAATCACGGAGCTAGTTCAGGATAATATTAGAGGATGATATAAGAGGACCTACAGGAGATGCCGTCGAAACCCCCGAATTTCGGGATTTTGTTCGCTTAGGTAGCTTGGTATCTGCTCACGAGTGCTGCATTATTCACATACAATATCCACTATCGAATATGTGGAAAAATTGCAAATATGCTTGATAATCTGTTCTCCTGGAGACGGTAGCTGGCAGTGTGTTGCTAGATACTCACACTTCACGGCTGAGCAGCTGTCTTTTTATGGCGGGCACCAAACATCAGTCTAGATCCGTTGTAAGGTAGCCGTTTCTAAGCACTCCTGAGTCCTCACTCACTTCTTGGTGGCACGCCACAGCAGCTGAGCACCTAAGCCTGCTGGCTGCCTGGTCTCCAGATGGACGCCACGGCGGTGCGGGCACGCCTGCCCTGGGCCTGCAGTCCGCAGACCTGCCAAGGATCCCTGCACCCGCCCAACGGCAGCTGGCGATTAGGCCCAACGTCGCTGCTGCTCCTTGTGGGCTCCAATCGGCGGACCCCCATCTTGCGAGGAGGGCTGTCTCGCACAGGAGGACTCACGTGCACCCGAAGCTCGCTGCCTGGTGGTGCCGCTGAGCAGTCCAGGGTGAGAAAACAGAGGAGGAGGACGGCCTGCACCGCAACTGCTGATGAATCTTCGAGCGGCGGGCCTGAGGAGAGCACCGCTGATGGAGGCAGCCAGAGCAGCAGGCCAGGAGTGCACTTGTATGAAACGGAGGAGGGCAACCTGGTCCTGGTTGACAGCGAGTCTGCTACATTGAACGCGGCACCATCAGGCAGTGCGCCGGAAGCCAGTGAGCCGCCAGACGGGCAGCGGGGCCCGGTGGGAACGGCTGCAGCGGAGGCCCCGGGCGGCAGCCAGGAGTTCATCCTGCAGGTGCACATCCCGCGGCCCCCCTCGGCTCAGCAGCTGCAGCACACATTCGAGGCTGCGGCGCGCGCAGTGCGCCGTAATGCTGTGGCGGCCTGGCTGCTGAACCTGCCAGCGGCCGCGCGGCGACGGCGGCTGGAGCGGCTGGAGGCCGCGGCGGACGAGGACCCGCGCAACGCAGAGAAGGAGGCCTCGTACCTGCTGGAGCTCAACAGGAGCTCCCCCGCAGCGGTGATTGAGCGCTTTGAGAAGCGCGAGCACGCAGCGGACAGCGGCGCAGTGGTGGAGTACCTGCGCGCGCTGGTCAGCACGGACGGCATCGCGCGCTACCTGCCCAGCGACAAGGAGGGCAGGGGGGCCACACTGCCCGCGCTGGTGGGGGACACGCGCGCCGTGCTACCGGCCCTTTCTTAGGATGGACTTTTGCTTTTCGGGCTTGAAGCTTGCATTTCCCTTCGAAAGAGAGAGCGTCAGATAACAGGAGGTGTAGCATGATATCTGGAAGTGAGGAAGATTGTCCTGGATCACTTGCAAGCACACTCTCGTGCTCGCTCAACATATTGGCGCTGCAGAAGGCAAGATGTGTGTGATATTCGTCGTCAATGGGAACTTCCTTTCAGGATGTTGGACCGACCTTGCCTTGAGTGCAACAGCACCGCCTCCCTGCCCTGTGCAGCTGGAAGACTTGAGTGCGCGCGCCGCCGGCGATGCCCCCCCCCCCACGCCGGGCCTGTCGGAGCAGGTGCCCCTACACGTGGTGATCAAGGGGGACAAGAAGGTGGAGGCGGGCCCCACGCGGCTGCTGCGCGCGGTGGTGGGCCGGCTGCTGCTCTTCTCCCTGGTGGGCGTGGCGTGGGTGCTGGCCGCCGCCTGGATCCGCAAGAACGTCAGCCTCAGCGTGAGCCAGTCCGCAGCAGGGGGGGCGGCGACCGCGGGGAACTACGCGCCCAAAGAGTACAACAAAGAGAACCTACCGGAGAAGGTGATGCCCCACCCCCTCCGTCCAACAAGCAAGCAAAGAGTTGTTGGGTATCAGGCACAGGCTCGGATCCGCGTGGGGCACCATCGCAGACGTACTTCTGCACTTGAGGTTCGAACGAGGGAAGGAGCAGCAGCTCTGACCCCTGCAATTACTGACTCTGATTGGCATGCGGCCGATAATGTTGCAAGCACTCGCGTGCACTTCAGGGGACAGCAAGCGTGTAACAGCGTCGTCACAAGTGTACTGGGTCGGAAATGAGGAGCGCTCATGCCTGGATTCTGGTGCAGAGCGTGAAGACGTTTGCGGACGTGAAGGGGTGCGACGAGGCCAAGGCGGAGCTGGAGGAGATCGTGGAGTACCTGCGCAGCCCCGCCAAGTTCACGCGCCTGGGGGGCAAGCTGCCTAAGGGGGTCCTGCTCACAGGCCCCCCCGGGACGGGCAAGACGCTGCTGGCCAAGGCGATTGCGGGGGAGGCGGGGGTGCCCTTCTTCTACCGGGCAGGCTCGGAGTTCGAGGAGATGTAAGCAGGGACGCTGGGGCACGCCTGGTGTACACTGCTGTGTTGAGTGGGGTTACTGAGAGGTTGCATTGAGGCATTGAGCCTGCAAAGCAGCATGGGCACTGGCCTGCGATAGCGCTTTTGAAGGCCTGTTTCAAGGGGACAATCTGCGATCCTGTTGGACTGAAGCTACATATGGCAGACCTGCAGTTCCGAGGGACTTGTCCTCTGCGCATCAAATGGTTCAAATGTATTGGAGCAGCCAAAGTACGAAGTTTGTTGTCAACAAGGTGCGAAGTCGTTCAAAAAGCTCCCCGCATTTGGAAGTTCAGGGGACCTACTGACGGCTTGCCTGCTGTGCTCCAGGTTTGTGGGCGTGGGTGCTCGTCGCGTGCGCGCGCTGTTTGCGGCGGCCAAGAAGAAGGCGCCGTGCATCGTGTTCATTGACGAGATTGACGCGGTGGGCGGCAGCCGCAAGCAGTGGGAGAGCCACACGCGCAAGACGCTGAACCAGCTGCTCGTCGAGATGGACGGCTTCGAGTCCTCCGACGGCATCATCGTCCTCGCCGCCACCAACCTGCCCGAGACGCTCGACGCCGCGCTCACCCGGCCCGGCAGGTTCGACCGACACGTGAGTTTGCACCCTTGGAAAGCGCTGCCCCACTTTGGAAAGAGGGAGCCTGCAGGGGGCCTGTGCGATAATGTATCGACTTATGGCACATCTTCCGCTAAGTAGTACCAAGAAGCTATTGCTGACTGCACATCTTATGTTGCTCGATCCTCATAGTCAGCTTGCGCGGCCCTCTTCTTCTCGAGCCTCCCTGCGCCAGCAGCCCCGCGCCCGTGGCCCCACCCCTTGCTCGTGGCTGACGCTTGCGTACGGCTGCGGGGGTGCGCAGGTGGCGGTGCCCAACCCTGACATCAAGGGCCGCACCGACATCCTGGGCCTGTACCTGGCCGGCAAGCCGGTGGCCGCCGACGTGGACGTGGGCGTGCTGGCGCGTGGCACCGTGGGGTTCAGCGGCGCAGACCTGGCCAACCTCGTGAACGTGGCCGCCGTGAAGGCCGCGGTGGACGGCACGCCCGTCATCGGCGCGGAGCAGCTGGAGTACGCCAAGGACAAGATCATGATGGGCGCCGAGCGCAAGTCCGCCGTGCTCTCCGAGGAGTCCCGCAAGGTGAGCCGCACAGCACGCGCGCACGTGGACTTGCTGGGAATACGTGTGCAGGCTCTCGATGCGGCCACAGCGAGCGGCGGCTCAGACTGGAGGCGCCAGTCGCATCGCATCAAGGGGCACCAGGAGCCTGGATGTTGGGGCAGTCGCCCATCCTATTGTGGCACGGGAGGGGAGCGTGGGCGGCTTGAGCCTGACTCGCCCGGGTTGGCCAAGGCTGTGTGCGCCGTGGCCCGTGTGTCGCGCTCGCTCGTGCGGAGAGGGCCGCTGAGTCACTGGTCTTGTCGTCCTGGTTGCAGCTGACGGCCTACCACGAGAGTGGGCACGCGGTGGTGGCCATTCACACCTTGGGCGCCCAGCCGATCCACAAGGCGACCATCACGCCGCGCGGGAACGCGCTGGGCATGGTGACGCAGCTGCCGGACAAGGACGAGGACAGCGTCAGCATGCGCCAGATGCTCGCGCGCCTTGACGTCTGCATGGGCGGCCGCGTCGCAGAAGAGATGATCTTCGGAGCCGACCAGGTGCGCCGCGGCTGGCTGGCGTCAGCTCTGGACGTTACAACTTGTCCGATTGGTTGCCGAGCAAGGCGGGACTGAGGCCCCAAGCAGGGAAGGGACAGCGTGCAGCCCGCAGCCTGCTTATGTCCTCCCTCGTGGTTGGGACTCGACAGCGCCAGCGCACTGCGTGTCTTGCGCGGCTCCTTGGCTTCCTTGAAGCAGGAAAGCGAGCGGTGTGTCCCGGACAGCTGGTGAACCGTGGACTGAGTTGCCGGCGGCCGCCTTGAGGTGACCCGTGTCCTGCTTTGCGGTGTCAGGTGACGAGCGGTGCGCGCAGCGACTTGAAGCAGGCGACGAACCTGGCGCGGCACATGGTGACGGAGTGCGGCATGAGCGACGTGGTGGGGCCCATCTTCGTCGCGGACAGCCCGGGGGGCGACTTCCAAAAGAAGATCGACGGCGAGGTCATGCGCCTGCTCAAAGAGGCCTACGCGCGCGTCCGCAGCCTGCTCGCCAAGGTACCGCCGAGCAAGCGAGCCTGGCATCTCTGCAAAGGAACTCGAAGGCAGGGGTGGTGTGGGGAGTGCTTGAGTGAAAGCACCGTGATTTTCCTTGGCTTCAGCACGCGTCAGTCTGCGTAAATTGATTGACAGACTTGCATGTGCTGGGCCTGCCACGGTAAACGAACCGGGCATGCAAGTTTTTGCCGGAATCACGATGTCACAAAAGGTGCGGACATTGTCGTGTTGGCCGACGCTCGTGGATGATCGTGACCCTGGTTGCATCTTCTCTGACAGCACGAGAGCGACCTCCACAAGTTGGCGCAGGCGCTGCTGGACCGGGAAACGTTGACTTCGAAAGAGATCCAGGACCTCATGAATCCGGAGAAGCTGATCGAGGACGTGCACATACAGCAGGTGAAGCTGCCTTCGGCGGTGACTTGATTACTCCTTTTGTTGAGTAGCCGTCCCAAGAATTGCGAAATCTGATTCTGATTGACGGAGTCGCTCAGCGGTTGTGTTTCCCAACGTTTGAGTATCCTTGTATAGAACTTGTTGGAGATCGATTTTGCACACTGTGGCGGTCGCACACTAAATTGTGCATGCCAAACTGATAACAACGGTCTTTGGTTGTATTTAAATAAACGAACCATTGAACTTGCAGTACCCAACTTTCTCAGTTGTGTAGTTCCGCCCAGGCTTTTCAAAATCTGCATGAAACTCATGGCAACATTGCACTCGTCGGCACTCGTCGACAGCAAGTGCAACCAAACTGGAGGCTAGGCCAGCCGCAAACTAGCTTGACTACTAGCTATCGTACCTGTGTGCACATACGAAGAAGGCAGATTGCGACCCATATGCAAATCTGTGTGCATATGGATTGAGGCCGGGCGCGGTCTCTAGCTCACTTGTCACTAGCTTAGCTAGTAATCTGAGTCTCACTGTTGATCGATTCGTGCATCCTCATGCAATCCAATTATGCGATGCAAATGATGCATGTCACTTGTACCAATGGTGACGTACTCATTCTATTACGTGTGGTAACCTGAATCCCGGGGTCTGCACGGCTGCCAACAGCGCATGCAATAAATGAGTTAATTATAACCGGAGAACTTGACTTAACTACATTCAACATCACCATGTAGTACTTCATGCATGGACTTCGTTGATCGATGGAGTCTTTGAACTTAACATATGGCCATGGCATCACACCCGGCATGCATGATGAACGATTCGAGCTCTGAGTCTTCGATCACTCATATCATATATGGCCGGCCTATGTGCCAGAGCCAGACAAGCCTAGTTGCAGTCCTTTAATTGCAACAAAACGTACGATCGAGTTCCAAATACTAACGTACACAACTTTAGCGCGCATCGTTGCAGATACATATATATGCATGGTTGATAGCTGCACCACAATATACATCTCATGTGTAACGATTACGACTGGTT